TCCATGCGCTCGATTGCCTTCTTCGGCTGCTTGCCCGTCTTCTGGTACGAGGAGATGTAGAAGCCGATGAAGAGGAAGAGGTACGAAGTCAGGATGGCGCAGCCGGTGGATGCGGCGATCTGTTCATTCGTTAAAATCCGGCTCTGGTGGGAGATGAGATGGATGGGCGGAAAAATTGAGAATACTTACGCCGCCGCCCTCGCAGTGACCGTAGATGGGTGCGTTGGGGAAGAAGTCGCGGACGAAGATGTTGTAGGTCGTGAAGTAGACAAAACCTATTTAGCAGCGCACGCATCGACAGAGTTAGCTTGGTTGCTTCTAGTAAGTGAAGCTGGTGGACGGCAGGATGAGACAGGGCACCATGTCATCGCGAGCACCTGCGACGTAGCGTCAGGGCTTGCTGCTGTTGTGATACTACTGCCACCACTTGCGAATGAGGGGATCGTGACTGGGAAGCTGACTTACCCATGTCGATGACGAATTGGATGATCTGGGTCATCGTAATGTACTTCTTCCACCAAACACGGATGCCACGCGCCGATTGGAAGTAGTACCAGTACATGATGGTGTGAACGGTGAGGTTGAGGACGATGGGGACCCAAGAGACAGGTGTTTGGCCGATAAGCTGGGTGTAGCAGAGGAACGCGGTAGCGCCATGGTGGTAGGTGTGGAGGAAAGCTGAAGGAGTTGGATTAGCGTGAATGCGGGAGCAATTGCGGATCGAACATACTCAAAGGCTTCTTCTTCAGGACAAGGAATACCGTATCAACGAACTCGAGATACTTGAAGAGATAGTTGATCTGGCACGTGTCAGTAAGACATTTAGGTTATGACAAAGTCTTGTGACTCACGTAGTACAAAGCCAGGAGAGGTTGGGTCCAGCCTGCATCTCTCTCGCATACGGTTTCATAAACGCCTATCCTTGTCATCAGCATCTCTCTCCGAGGAAATTACATTGCCTGTCCTTGCAGACATCACGAGGGAAAATATGCATACCGCGCTGCGCAATGGTCGGCACAAGCTCCTTCAGGTACAGCACCAGCAGCCCTGCAGATCCGACCGTGAGGAAGAAGTTGTGCAGCTTGAAGGCGAATTTGAACTCGAATGGCTTCCGGTCCTGCATTAAATACTGGCCGCCGAAGATGATTATGTAGTAAAGCGCGATACCGGTGATAGACTCCTTGAACGTTCCCATAGGTGTCTTGCCGGGACGGAACTCGAAGTCCGACATGTCCAGACCGAGGCCCTTGAGCGAGAACATGGCCGGATACATCTTGGGCTCCTGCATGACAAGGTATATGCGTGCGCGGTGTTAGGGCGAGAAGGGAGGGGAAGAGGAGTGAGATGGCACAGGGAGGCTTGAGCACGCAATTGTCAGTGCCTGTGGTGGTATTGACCAGTGAAGGGTAGGGGCGGATGCTTTATATCAGTCTCTCTTTCCCGGACCTGTGGTCAACAGTGAGACAGCAGGAGATAATCCAGCAGACTCTCACGCACAGAAGCCGACGACTATTGCATGAACCTTCCATTTCTGCCCGGCGGGACCTGCCTGTACCAGGAGCTCTTAGCGCCACCAGCACGGTATCTTTGATATGGGACCGTTCGGAGAGAAAGAGAGCCACGCACCGTTGGGATCGATATGAACGTCTAGGTCGGCCATATTTCCTCGAGATGGGCTGGGAGCCCTGCTTCCGTGGCTCGCTGCTTAGGGCTACTCACAATCCGTATAGCGTCTCGCTGGGGTTCTTGAACACACCTTCCTCGTCGAAGCGGGCATGTGTCTCATGTACCTTCTCAGGAGAAAGCGCAAGGCTTCGGCCGCACGACAGATGCGCACACGCGTCGAGTTGCCGGCACAATTGGCTTGAGTAACCAACGGATCTCGTGACACCTTGGGTAAGTTAGGCTCTGCGGAATGCTCGTCCGCGGCGGCAACGTGCTGTCACCACCAACAGCTGCCTCACGAGTACTCGGGAGATACTGTTCAATATCGGCTGGAAAGGTATACCTGGACACTGGATCCACCGAAGATGCTCTGATACTGGTCGATTGCTTGAGAGGAGAGCAGACGTCGGCGTTTCGCAGGCCCAGAGCTCCGACGGGCTTCATGTTCATGCGGGGACAACACCACCTCGCGCTCTGGCTGGTGGCGTCTGTGATCTGCCAGTCGTCTGGGGCCGCTGTCGAAGCGACTTCATTCGATGCGTCGGACAAGGTTTACCACGCGGTCTCTCTCATGTGGTGGGCATTGTGGTGGGCATTCTGGTGTCTCGAGCAGGCCAACAGCTTGTTATCGCCGCACGGAGGCTCAGCCGCCGACTTTAACTTAGGCGAGATGGAGGAGAACAGTCAACGAGGGCGAAGCCTTCAGATCCCAGCGCCACTGCCATTACCAGCTTCCCTTTGCTGGTATTGTCGACTTACGCTACAGCTGAGGTTGGAAGTTCGGTGGCTGATGGCTGACTTGGGCCCCAAGCCCGCTGACTACATACACGAGCCGGGCGGAATCCCACTTACCTATCGTTAAGCTGCTGCAGTCAAACCTCTGTCGGTTGATGTCCGGCCTTCAAACTTATGGACCGGGTTATCTTAACCTTACGGTGCTCTTTGCCGGGAGTAGGAACCCGTATCACAAGTAACATGCATGCGCAATTGGTGTTAGTCTTGGAGGACAAGGTTGGACCTGTTGCCATGCACTACATATCAGTGGCACTGGTCGCGCCCAGCGCTGCTGCTGCAGCTTCGCGCAGCGCGTATCTCCAGTGAACTCATACGGCTCGAATTTTGTTTGATGAGTCTTCCGTCGTCAGAAAGCCGAAGTCGCCTGACGAACGTAGCGAACGGCACGAATCGGCCTGCTATGTTGTGCACCACTCTCCGAGGCAGTCTCACCAGCCAATCAAGACTTTTGCGTGACTTGCTGCCAGATAGAACATCGATCGTTCGTGGTGACGGCCCATAGCCAGTAGCAAGGCACTCCACCATGAACAATTGCCGGTGCTGCCCAGGACAGCCCAGGACAGCCCAAGCCGAAAATGTTGCGAATTGGAGAGGCACCGGCAAGGCAGTCATAAGACATGTCCTGTGTTGATAGTTCCTCAACTCAGTATGGATATGGGACATGTAGAATCGCGCACAAAGCCCGTTGTGCGGCCCGCCTTGAAGGAGTGTCCAGCCTTCATCGCAGGCGACCCATTGGAATCACCTCCTGGTGCTCTCGGTTCTAATGGGGTATCATTCGGAGTGGTTAAACAGTTGTTCGGTTTTGTGTACGACATGAACTAAGGCTCGATACCAATCTGGTGAGTAACTAGGCCTGTTCCTCTTGCTCTTCCGGCGTCGCTGGGTCCAACGGCTCTGGATACTGCGTGCGGAGATCACGGATGACCGTCTGAACGAACTTCTGTCAGTTGCCAGATGCCTCTTTTGTTGAATGAGAGTACTCACAGCTAGAGCCTCGGGGTTGACTCCATTCTCTACGAGCGAGACGCAGTAGGAGAGCTGCTGGCGGTCCAGGTTGGTGTTCTACACGTCGAGACGCGTGAGTTGCTGCTGACGGAATTACTGCGGGGAGGCTTACCAGAAGTGTAGCGATCTCCTGCAAGATGTCGATAACCTCGCGGGCCGCCTGGCGCTTGTCGACCTCCGGCTGCGGCATCGTGCTGTGAGCGGGGCGATGTGCGTTGCGTTACGAAAGGCCCATGTGTTGATGGTGGACTTTGGGCGCGGCGGGCGCGCGCGCACCGATGAGGCATCAAGACGCCGAGGGTTTCTCCGCCCTCGTCTCCGCTCTTAGGGCTAAGGGGGTGGAGCGGGAGTGACGACATGTGACATCAGCGGGTTCAGGTTCAATGATGCCAGAAGGCCGACCCTTTGATCGTCCAACAGTACAAATTGCAGCACTGCGACCACCTGTCGCTGACTCTCTATCCTCTCTACCATCAACCAACCGCTCCTCAATCCAACCACATTATCTCCAAATTCCATACCTCACTATCTTTTTAATCCTTCCAAACCAAACCAAAACACCAGTCATCCGATCATCATGCCTACCGACCCTCACCAAGGCGGCTCTCTCACCGACATGGCCGTTAACGGAACCACTGTCCCCGGCGACGCTGGCAAGATGAACACCATCCCCTCGGTCCCTCGTCCCGGCCAGACCACCGAGCAGTCCGAACTGAACCCCATTGGCGCGGCCGACCAGCACTCTGCTGTGGACAACCCCACGGACATCCCTCGCTCCGGCAAAGACATGGGTGCCACCGGTGGTGTCATCACGGGTACCGGCGACCAGCTCCCCGCAACCATCGAATCCAAGCGTATGCATTTCAGCCCTAACGACGCCAAATCCAAGGGTCACGACCGTTACGACAAACACTCACAGGATAAACAGGGTCTTGATAAATTCGCAGGATCAGGTGCCACCGTCCAACCAGCCCCCGGCGAGGAGGGCGATTCCCAGGATGCCATCCGCGACAGGAAGGGATTGTGAGGAGTGAACAAAAGAGTCGATTCGAGTTCGACATCAACATGTATCACGAGTCACGATTTTCAAACATGGGAACATATTTAAATACCCCAACATGATAACGAGCGGCTTGTCGTAGACAGCCTCAAAGCTCAAAAATCAAAAATCTTTTCTGGCAAATCTGCATATTCTTATTCGTGATGTGTTGCAAGTGTTTCATAGCCGAGAACCTGCCATGTGTTTAACTAGGATGGGTTGACTTACAAAGATGTGTTGAGTGCAGTCCCTTCCCATTATGCCTCAACGTGGCTTAAGTAATTATTATCGAACCCGAGTTACGACTTTCTGAAAAGTCCCGCCCTATCACGGCATATGTTTGGACATGTATTTCGCACTTCAAAATAAACGCTGTAAGTACTCCCCAAAGTGTTTCGAAGCCCAATCGTCTTCAACAATGACAATGACGATCGGCCAACGCGAGTCTCACAATTGAGAATTTGCAGCTCGGAGAGCAAAAAGCAAAAGCAAATGCCCACTCTCGGAATCGAACCGAGGATCTTCTCATTTCGCAGGAAATACGAGTGAGACGCTGTACCACTAAGCCAAGCGGGCAGCTTGATATGAGGAATGGATGCGTAATTCACAATATAATATGTAATGCGCGCAACAGATATCTCGGGCTATCTGGCTTCTCAGTCTCTTGCAACCATTATGGATAATCAAACACGTATGGCTTACAGATATCCTCGTCCTATTTGGCATTGACATCTCACAAATGCGCCTCAAAGATAAATGCACGTCAAGTATTCTATTCCACATGCATCTGGTGCCTAGCCAACCGTGCAAGCCAACCGTGCAAGCCAACCTACTTACAACACCCACCCCTTCGTCCATCTACTCAACATCCATCTCGTTCCCATCGCCCTCCACCGTCTTCTTGACTCCTTCCAAGAACGCCTCGACCGCCTCCCCACCGCCAAGCGGCACGCCGCCTCTCCTCACATATCCACCCCCCTCCACCTTGATCCCCAACACCCCCGCAACCATGGGCAACCCGCCATCCCGAAGCGCAGCCGTCAAGCTACCCAGCCCCTGAGTCAACTGCGGACTCCTCAGCACCCGCCTCAGGATGTCTTTCTTCTGACCGACACTCAGAGCTTCGATGGCGGCTTGGACGGTCGACGGGTCTGGGTCCGCGTCGGAGAGGTCGTCGACTTCTTGGGCGAGGAGAAGGATCTGTGGCGGGAGGTTGGCGAGGAGAGTGTCGAGGAAGGAAGTCGGTGCGGAGTCGATGATGGGGATGGTTGTAGTCGGCGTAAGGAGGTCGGGAAGAGTCGTGAATAGTTTGCCGCCTGGTGACTGCCCAGAGGATGCAGCAGCATTGCTGTTGTTGCCGGAAATCGAATTGAGGAAATTCTGGACAATGGCGGAAGCGTCGTTGGGTCTGTGAGGGGAGACGGATTAGTGTTCGAGATAAACTTATTCGATCCCATATCCGAAAGATAGCTAGACGCGTCGACTTGCAGCTGTGGACCAAGGCCAATCACCAGGCTTCGCTGTAGAGCTGCCAGTATGGAATTTACTGCCTATTTGACAAGTAAAGGCATTTGCCCCATGATCGAAACCGCAAGCCCGCCAACCAAGGATCGAAGCGCATCTATGCCCGGTATGGGATATCCTTTTGAATCTCCTCAAATGCCCGCATAACTCCGTGTGTATGATAAAGGAATGCACCTACGCTCTTCCACCATCAGCACCACCCTCACGAGACTCCTCGCCTTCGTTTCTGATATCACCACCAGTAGCGTCTGCACCGGCACCGCCACTGCCTTGTCGGTGATGTTCAGTGTTGCCCGAAGCATCCTCCATCATCTCGTCGTCATCGTCGCCCCGCGGTTGGCTCGGGATCTGTCTGAGCTCGTCCTGGACATCAATCTCCTCGCCAGACAGCAGCATGTCAACAATCTGGCCAATCTTCTGGTCTCTCGGGCTGAACCAGCTGGGGTCGCCGTTCGGGTGCTGAGACTTGGACTGCATCCAGAAGAGATGACGCTGCGAGCTGGAGGAGAACTTGAGGGCGAAGATTCGGCCGTTGGTTGGCGATTTCACGTCGTCTGATGAGCCAGCGCTTTCCGGACCGGTGTAAGGCACGAATGAGCCATCGCCGGGAATCATGAGTAGGTCGAGTTCGGGGTCGTTGACAGAAGCGGAGCGCGGGCGCCAGCAGAAGTGGACAAGCTCTGCATTATAGTCATGTGAGCTTCTGGAGATATCGTACGTGGAGCGGTTCAAGAGTACCATCGCCAATGTAAAGGTAGATGTAGCCAGGCGTTTCGACAGCTGTGATTTTCCAGGGTTGCGAGCTTGTCTAGCTTCGCTCAGCAGTGTTCGAATAGATGCGGCGCGGGTGTCTTACGTCTAGGTCGCACTTTCCAGCCTTGAATGTGAGCAACGGCGAAATCGACATGGTCGCGGTGGCAGTCTGCAGATTAAGGTTAAGAAAAGTGGTGGACGGGGAGGTGAGGCAACAGTGGAGGCAATTGAGATGGATGCTGTCAGTCCAAGCTTAGCTCTCCGCCCGGCGGGCATCTCAACGGGAGCTCTGGCCGGATAAATTCAATGTTCCGCCCGACGCCAAGGCCGCACCATTAGCGACACACACATCCAACACCGAGAATTGAGGACTTCGAAGACGACGCGGCGACATCACCAACCACCCCATCCCCCGACCGGACTCCTTCGACTAAGCCATCCGAAATGTCGGCCCCTCAGGAACCCCAGACCAAGAAGTTCGGCAAGGGCGAGAGGACCATCCCTCACCCTTCCCAGAAGGCCGCCAAGTACTACCCGGTCGACGACGACAAGGCGCCCAAGAAGGTATGCGACTGCACAATTCGCGGGAAAGATATTGTTGGACTCTGGGTTGCATTTTGTGCGCACGATTTTGGGCTGGTCCGAAAGGCCTTGGGTTGTGCACACGGAGGCATCGGGAGTCTCGCAACATCAGATGCGAGAATTGGAGTCAACAAGTACTGATCAGCATTATTCCATCAGGTCCGCAAGACCATCCGTCCCGCCAAGCCCCGCGCGTCTCTCCAGCCCGGTACCGTCCTGATCCTTCTCGCTGGTCGTTTCCGCGGCAAGCGTGTCATCCTCCTCAAGCACCTTCCCCAGGGTGTTCTTCTCGTCACCGGTCCCTTCAAGGTTAACGGCGTCCCCCTGAGGAGAGTCAACGCCCGCTATGTCATCGCCACCTCGACCAAGGTCGACCTGAGCGGCATTGACTCTGCGGTTGTCGACAAGGTCGGTGGTGACGACTACTTCACCAGGGAAAAGAAGCAGGACAAGAAGGGCGAGGAGGCTTTCTTCAAGCAGGGCGAGAAGCCCGAGGTCAGTTGTTCAGATGGGACTGCAATTGGAACGGGGACTGACTGCAGAATACAGCCCAAGAAGGTCGCCAGCGGCCGCGCTGAGGACCAGAGGTCAGTCGACAAGGCCATCCTGGCCAACATCAAGAAGAGCGACCCGTACCTCCTGAGCTACCTTGGCTCCAGCTTCAGCCTTCGCAAGGGCGACGCGCCCCACTCTATGGTCTTCTAAATGGATGGCGGGGACTAGAGCAGTGGAAAGAAAATGACTTGTGGATGAGCGGGATATCCGACCGGTGCGCTGCTTTGACCGTAACAGCAGAATTTCATGGCACGGCGAGGTTTATGGAGGGTTCGGTCTGCATTTTCTCCAAGAGTCTTGTACCAAGCAGCTGAATTCAACAAACATCCGAGATGCTTTGGCGTTTCAAGATTCGGTACCGCCGCCAACTATATCTTGTTCGATAATATGCACTAAAATAGGGGACACGACCACGGCGAACGAATTGAATGCGGTATATGACGAGGATGCCAGAATCGCAGTGTAGGGGCCGTCATACGTTGCGACTTCAGTCGAAACGGAACTGGTAATCAGCAGGCCTGGCGAACTTACATGGCCCAATCAGTGGCCCGCGCGGATACGCGCATAATATGTCGATTGTGAGGCCAGAAATGCCATTTGCACTACCATGGACTTCGAATCCGCATGTCGAAATACGCCTTGGCGGGGTATCGCAATTTGGTCCCATACTCTCGCACCGCTCGCCGTTCGTCACCCCCACCATGCTACGTTACCGTGATCCCACACACCTAGCATACGTCCTCCCGACCACTCTCACTTCTTCTGCTTTCCATTTCCGCTCTTCGCACCCTTCAATTTACCCCCAACCCCATCCATCAACCCCTTAACACCCTCATCCCCACCCCTCTTCTTCCACTCCTCCCTGACATCCTCCCCCACATCCCCGCCCCCAACCACAGTCCCCAGCACCCAATCCAACACCCCCCAAACTCCGTAATTCCCCTTCCCGCCACTCCCCCAATGCGCATCCGCCCGTCTTGCCATGCCGCCCAATAGCATGCCCGGCTGCACGCTGTACCCGCTGTACACGAACGCTTCCTCGAGACTGACGAGGGCGAGCAGGAGGTCGTAGGTCAGGACGTGGAAGCGGAAGAGGAGGGCGGGGAGGTAGAGGGGGAGGAAGCGGTGGAGGAGGTGTGGGAGGGGGTGGTCGTAAGTTGCGGAGAAGGGAATGGGGTGTTTCAGAGAGTGGGACCAGTTGTTGTGGAGGTGGGAGAGGGGGTTGGTGGGGCGGTGCAGGAGCGCGTGGAGGGGGTAGGTCAGGAGCTAGGCGGTAGCGTCAGTGTGAATGCGGATTCTAGGTTGCTAGAAGTGCTTACGCCGCGGAGTAGCAGGCCTTTGCTCACGTCTTTGATCATTTCCCACGGCATCGGCAGCGTGGTCGTGATGCGCAGCGCGCTGCGAAAGTGTAGGACGTCCGTCATGACCCATTCGATGCCTGTCTGCAGGCCCACGGCTAGGACCACATTGAATAAACTCCACCCGACCAGTTTTGCGACCCTAGTGTTGCCATAGCGGCCCGGCAGAGCGGCATTGCCTTGGTTCTTGATTTCGACGCTGAGACTTGGCACGGAAAGGTCGAAGGCGAGGAAGAGGGTGGAGGGGAGGACGTAGAAGATTAGGCGGATGAAGAGGGCGCCCAGGGCTTCGACGCGGAGGGGCGGGTGAGAGAGGAGGAGGGTGGACCAGGTCAGGTAGAAGAAGAGGAGGTTGAGAGAGGTGCTGTAGTTGGAGAGGAGGGGAAGGGCCAGGTAGGACACCAGTGGCAGGGAAAGGAGCGTGTCTAGCATGGTGCTGATGGTAGGTGTGGAGATTGAGGGGTTCGAGATAGGCGTTTGTGGCGCTGGTGTTGAGTGTGGATGGGGTGCAGCTATGCGCTATGGCGCTTGTGTCGAGTGTGGATGGGGTGCAACTATGCGCTATGGCGCTTGTGTCGAACGCGGATGGGTTTGCGACTATGCGCTTTGGTGGAATGCCATGCAGAGTTGAGATGGTGTGCTGTGAGGTACGAGTAGGAATCGAAGTCTCACTCAGCTTGCAAAAATTGATGGCTTATGATTTTGTTGTCATGCAGGCAGGATAATGCTAATCGTGCCCAGGTTCGCAAGGCCAGAAACTTGGTGTTGAGTCTCAATCACTCACCCTGGCTACCTATGACGTCC